ATGGTATTTTTAAAACATTTTTATCAGTTTTATGTGTTTTACAGGAAAAATTAGTCGGTTAACTACATTTATACGGCGACTGTGACATTATAGAGCTAAAATAAAGGATCATAATTTACAAAACTCAAAAGAAATGCAAACACGTGTTTCTAAACACTTGATATTACTGAAAACTTGTATAAAAAAAATATTAAGTATGTTAAGAAAATGTATTAGTTTTGAGATAAATAATGGTCGCACCACATGATGGGTGGTTGCGCCAAATGACATGAAGACCTTTTATCATTAAAAATCAATTTAAAGGTCAACAAACAATAAATTCCATACAAAAATTATATTTAAAACAGATTTTATTAACATTTCAAACATGAACCTAAACTCAAACTTTATTTTCTATATCGCACATTTCATACAAGGAATAACAAAGTGCTTTACAGGTTCAAAGAACAGACATCCCTCCCTCCCTTCCTCACTCACTCACCCGCACACAGCCGTAAACATACACTCTTTAAAATGTGATATGGCAGGCACTGAGGAACCAGGTGAGTAAATCATTAAGTAACTGATTGAACAACATGAACACAAACATTTCATTTCATAAACATTCATTTCATTTTTTGATAAAAAAAATCTAGCCCCAGGCCTGTTTGAACTTTGCCCAATCTTGGCTGCTCAACTTAGCGTGCCGTGAGGTTGCCGGCTCAGGTTCCACAATGACAGAGACAACATCTTTCTTGTAGTAATATATAATATCTGGCACTTGTGGCCACATGAACAAGTTCTTTTCTCCTGCCTGCCGCATGGAGGTAACTTGCACTTCCTCTCCAACAACCTGAAGGACCTGGCCTACATAGGGAAGTTTATCATAGGTGACAATCACAAACTTTCCACTCAAGTCTTCCGGAGGTTGTTTCTTTGGTGGCTCAGGAGGGCTTAAGGGATCCTCAGTGGTGTCCCTCAAATAAGCTTTCACTGGCTGGTAACAGAGGCAGGTCTTCATTTCTGCATGCTTGCAGAAGCATGAAACCTCCCTGTGACTGATTTGAGCTGCTTGTGAAGACGAAACCTGATGTATTTTTAAGGTTCCCTTCACAGCCGTCAATTTGTCTGGAATTAACTCATCATATTTTTGGATTCTGTCTTCGCTTATCCAGTGATAAGTGATAGTTGACGCTGATTTTTTGCCCAGCATCTCGTACAAATCCAGTGGAGTCTGCAGCTCACCACCCCGACGAACATAGAGATCTGCATCCCTCTTCACAGCACCACCAATACCATCCGGGGCACCCTTTCCATGGGACTTTTCTGAATAGTTCCATGTAACATGCTTAAACCCAGAAAGGAAAGGCACAGTACTGAGGAGGTAAAAGTTAGCTTTGTTCCTGTACTGTGTAACAGGTCCATCACTAATAATATGTAGGGCTGTAATCTGTGGGGAGGTTGCCCGAAGCTCTTTCAGTATGGGCTCCAGGTGTGCCCATACTGCCCGCTCATCATGGCGGAGGCTGTCTGATAGTGTTGCATATGATTTAGTACCATGAACTGTGTAAAGGACAGCAGTGTGTATTGTGGCCTGCTTTCTGCTGCCTCCAAAATGAAAAGCTTGTATTTCTGTACTCATCTTGCAGGCATAGTTTTCCGAAAAATCAATGTGAAGCACAGCTTCAGATTCAGTGAGATTTTGTTTTAGGTTACGAAACTGTACTGTTTGGTGGATCCAGTTGAACTGATGTGTGGCTAAAGATTCTAGCTTTTTGTGGAACAGCACTTGTAAGTCCTGGATTGTCCCTGTATGTGTTTGTTTTAAAACATTTGCAAAGATTTTTTCTTTGTTTGTTGAAGTTACCCGCTCCCATTGTTCCCAAGAAACCTCTGTATAGGGTGTCTCAGGAAATTCAACTTCATTAAAGCAGCACTTTGGGCATACACGATCCATACATGCTTTGTTTTTAGGGTCACAAACAATCATACTCAATAATTCTGAGATGCTGGTTGTCTTCAACAGCCCTCTCTTGGCGAGTTTGTTAACCAATAGCCGGATATTCTCATGTTCCACACATGCACATGTATCTCTATCACTGGTCTTCGGCTCTGTGATATAAAAAGGCCGTCTTCTGACAAATTGTCTGTAAGACATGGAGAGATGCTGTTCCACCTCTCTTTGATACTGTGCATGGAGCTCAGTCAGGGGCTTTGTTAGAACTCTTCTTTGCATTTTATGTTTATTTTTGGTGATGGTGTCTTTTTTCCCAGCTAAAAGACGACTGTTTTCATCTCTGGACAGAAAATTGATAACTGCTTGCTTTCTTATTGCTGACAGCTTCTTGTGGCCCCTTTGTTTGAATTTTTCACTTAGGCCTACTTTTTGTTTTGCCATTAACCTCTTCTCACTCTTTCTGAATCTATCCTTTAGTTTTTTCATCTCTGCTAGCTGTTTTTTCAAAAGTGTCAACTGTTTTCTCAGTTGACACTTCTCTTTCAGCAATCTTTTGCAACGTTTCTCTGCTGAGGATGTATTCTTTCTCTGATTCCTCTCTGGTGTGGAGGACACTGGTGGTTTAAAATACTCATTCAGAGGAATAGGGTCTTCCACAGCTTGACCAGCATCTCCTGGCTGCTCTTGTGCTACATCTACACCAACCAGAACTGGTGTAATGTTCTCTATGGATGGTGGTGAAAGGTCTAACAAAGCATTTGTCATCTTTTTTCTTTCTCTGTAAGCACTGGATGCTACCCTCCACCTCTCTCTCTGTTTCTTTTTCACTCTCTCTGGCAGGTCACTTGACTTTACATATGGAATCTTTCCCTGCAGTTTCCTCTTCTGGTAGCTGAAACAATTATGTAATATAGTGCCATGCCATAAATCTGTAGTCTATTTTATTTTGGACAACTGATAGATGACAACAAATGAACACATTCACGAAAAAATGCATTTCCTCCAGTTAATGAACACAGAGACACACACAGAGAAATATTATTGTTTTCATTTTTAACATTTAACACACCTTTCTCTTCTCCTGGCAAGGTACTCTGCTCTTGCTGCAGGGTCAGAGTTGACACGCTGCCTGTGGCGAGCGCTTTTTTCTTTGCTTGGCAGTGGCATCTGGTAAAATAGATTAAAATTAGTTAAATACATAAATTGCTAATAATTGCATAATTACACAAGTGAAACAGCATGCTCTTAATATTTTTTTCTTATGTTGTACAAAGATGAAACGATTATTGTTTCTGAAAAATTAGCAAAATGACTAAAATTATATAAAAATTATTCCAAATAATACTAAAGTTAAGTACTTTATGTTTATCAATCATCAGTTGAATATAAAAAGCACAAAAACTACCAATCTAGGACATATATTTATGATGGAAAACAATCCGAAGTGGTTGCACCACATGATAGTTGGTCGCACCACATGACATTTTCAAGTTCAGTCAGATCTTACTGACATAGGATTAGCCACCTAAGCAAAACAAGCTAGCTTCCCACAAAAGGTCACTATGAAATTTGTGATAAAAATACATATTTGTGGAAATAACTTAAATCCATTGTTTTTTTGAGGTCATACCACATGATATCCAAATATGGCAACTCCATTACAACAGTTAAAAAAGTTCTTTTTTTAAAAAAAAACAGAGTTACAAACCTGCTTTCAGCTTCCATAGGTCGATGACAAAATGGTGGATGATGCAACTTCCTGTCTTTAAGTAGATTTGAACATAAAAGTCCCAAAATTGTCATTTCGTGATGGTCGCACCACATGATATTTAATGAAATGGACATCATCGGACAAAGTTTGTTTGTGTATTATGATAGAAATATAACCGCAAATGTTTTGGAATTTTGTACAGGAATACAAAACACTTTGTAAATTATGCCAAATAGGGCAGAAAATAAATTGTAGTAGATTATGAATAATTTGAAAGAAGTTTTCAGAACAGCAGTCATGGCCGGACGGTCGCACCACATGATATTTTGACACTTTAAATTACAGAAAAATTACAAATAACTCATGATTTTTGAAAAGTTTAAGTGAGTACATATATGGGAGAGATACTGCATACAGATAGTATATTTTTGTGCATTTAAACCTTTATTAACTTAAAAAAAATACAGTCGGACAGAATATTTAGGCGTCACGTCATTGACCCATATATTGCACAGCTCAAAAATTATATATCCACAGTGGCACCTCAGTTCTCGAACTCATTATAACTCAAATTTCTTAAAAGTTGAACCAACCAGTTCGAAAAAAAAAATTACCTAGAGCTCGATCTGAATCTCAGAAGTCAAACCATGAACGCCGACCTAAGATAACTTGTACGCGCAGGGAAATGAGTCACACGGCACATCTCTCAGCGGAAACAAAGGGTAAAGTTTCAGTCTCAACCTCGAATTAGCTGTGATAGCACCGTGCATGTTTACACTAACTGAATACATATATTTAGACAG